CATCCGCCAAAATTCAACTTGCGAATACGAACTATAATGTTGGGAATACGAACTATAATGTTGCGAATACGAACTATGATGTTGCGAATACGAACTATAATGTTGTGAATACGAACTATAATGTTGCGAATACGAACTATAATGTTGCGAATACGAACTATAATGTTTCGAATACGAACTATAATGTTGCGAATACGAACTATAGTTGCGAATACAAACTATAATGTTGCGAATACGAACTATAATATTGCGAATACGAACTATAATGTTGCAAATACGATCTTTAATTTTGGCGGAAATATGACGCCATACTTTAACCCCTGGTCTAATTGGCCGCTTTTGAAAATGTTGATCATGACGAACCGCACTGCCTTAATTATGCAAACTTTGTGTTTTAAAAACGGGTTAGGATAAAACGCGGATACGGACGGACGGATGAATGACGGACGGACGGACGGACGGATGGATGGATGGCGACGGACGGACCGGACGGATGACATATATATGTCATTATATAGTCTGCGCGCAGCCACGCAGGGTAGTTAGTGGCTTACGTCTTCGCTGGTTGTTACACTTTAAAATAATTTTGTACCGATAAATATAATATATATATAATTATATACCGATATATATATAATTTTATACCGATAAATCAATATTCCGAGTATATAAATATATAAACTGGGATGTCACACTGATAGCTTGTTTACATTTCCTGGAGCATCATGAAATCTTATGTTTAACCACGGTGGTTTAACCCATTAGCTGGCAATGCGCCCTTCCCTTGTCCAACGCCAGAAGATTTTACTCGTCAGTGGTATAGGGTACTGCCAGTAAATGGGTTAACAAACCTATCTGCCAATGGCTCTTGTTAATTCATCAACACAGTAATGGCCCCTACTTTAGTATTTACCCTGTCCAACGCAAGACGATTTTTAATACTCAGTCAGTGGTAGGGTACTGTCAATAAATGGGTTAACAAGGATAACAATAGTAGGATGTTTCTGAAGGACTCGTTCAACACCCTGTAGTTTGTCTTTTGCTGTCAAAGGCAGCATTACTGCCCTGTGGCATAGAATAAGAAATGAATAGAAGGGCAACTGAATGTCGGATCATTTGAAGTCGGTGTCCTCGCGCATGTCGTGTCGCGCATGCCGGAAATACGACGGCGGCCATTACTCTGGCCAGTAACTTGCAGCTGGAATCGATATAAAATATATGGAGTGAGAGCTGTGATTTGTTTTAAAATTGACATTTTGTGGATATTTGCTTATAAAATTAGATTTTAAAACCAAAACACCCAAGAGGAAGGTAAGTAGTTTGTATTTATTCATTTATTGGTCAAATAAAACATTTAATCGAGGTATTTATCAGCTACAAATATTACTATTAAATATGGAGTTGCATGACGAACATTATTTATATATACAGTACATGATACAGACTATGTTTATAGGTTTTAAACTAGTGAATCGTTGTTAATCTTTGCAACTATCGTACATATCATTTTTTTTTATTTTTCGGGTTGTCTTGGTCTTTAAAGCTAGTGTGAATACGTTTTTTTTTGTTCAGATGTTGCAGTAATATTATATAGATTTGAGCATTTTGAGGGTTTTCATCCAGAGCAGAGCTGCTTTTTATGCACACGTGGTCACTTCCATGTGTTTATAGCTGTTTTTCGTGTACAAGTTTGATTGAATTTAATGTATTTTTTTGTTTTTATAGAAGTGGCAAAGTCACTATCACAGAATAGGAAGTGAAGGTGGTCAGTATGGTTCCAGCACAGTCCAATATTCAATTGGATTTGTCTGAAAGAACCTTGGAACTGTTTCAAATATTACTAACATTCAAAGATACCTTTTGAACATTGGCTACAAATTGATTTTATCTTGCATAGGAACTACTTAGTTCTGTACTTTATATTGTTATAAACAAACGTTCAACAAGTCCCAATTGGTATTTTAATAAGCACAAGTGTACGAGTCTAAAACAAGTCTGATTTGTTGCAATAGTTCAAATGCATATATTCAGTGGTGGACACTAGGGGGCCAGGTGGGCAATACCCCCCCCCCCTCCCCCAATAATTTCCGTAGACCTTTGACCATTTGTGGCTTAATAACTGTGTATAACAAAGCTGTGACATTATTTTTTGATATGTATTGCATGGTTTGCATGGTACTGTGGGTTATAGAACTATATGTAATATTGCATGAAATTTAAAGCAAAAAAGTTTATAAAAAATTAAGATCTCCAGGAACAAAAGGAATATATTATATGAAACCCATTCTACATTAACAGCTGTTCATAAGAGTTGGGCTGGCCTGGTAAACCAGGTTAGCTTGCCTTCATACACTAGTGGAGGCAGGCTAGCCTGGCAAGCATTATGCAGAAATTGCAATATAATTTTGGATAGCTTTCTACATTCTTAGATTTATAGGTGTCTGAATGGCAAAATAAAGCATGTATCCACATTTGAATACAAACTTGAAATGGGGGTACCTAAGCAGCCTGGTCCATTTTGTAATGCCAGCACATCTCATATGGAACAGCCCCATATATTTGGTGTCCACATCTTGCATAATGTAATACTAGGAGAGAAATGAAAGAGTATTCAACATATTTTTGTAAAAAATTTTAATGTTTCTGCACTGCCATTCTGGCATACATATATTATATTACAAAGACAACACAATATGATCCAATCATTGACAAATTGGTCTTCAAGAGAGTGAAACTTGAGTACTTGTTGCCAAGGCTTGAGCACGTCCAGAAGGCTTAAACTAAATGAAACAAAAATTATGACATGGATAATACTATGTTATAGAAGGGCCACATTGCCAGCTTGACCTAGTCATGCTAGCTGAGGCCTAAATTGCCCAGCATGGAAAGAAAAGGCTGTCCAGTTTTGTGCACAAATCAGTGACTTGCATACACAACAGCTTATATTGCTGTCGAATCTTTTGGCACAAAAACGATACTCCATACACTCAGGCAAATTGATGTGTTGCCTGTGTCAGTGATTGTCAGGCATGGATGAAGTGTAAACATGGTCATAACTTGATGTTTGTGGTGTTACTCTGCGTGTGCATCCACACCGGGACAAACTAAAAAGTTTGCCTGACTATGGTGGGAATCGAACCTGTGACCTTAATGGGATACCAGTCCAATGCTTTACCAACTGAACTGCTAGGTTAAGTCAGTTCGAGTTGGTGATATTTTGGAACTGAGTGTGGTTCCTTCGATATCAATGTATTCTAAGACATGATACTTTTTGTGTGTGTTAGTGTTATATACTTAGGTGACCTCATAGCTCAGTTGGTAGAGCATTGGAGTGATAACCCAAAGGTCGTGGGTTAGATTCCCACCATGCCTGACCGCGGTCAGGCAAACTTTTCAGTTTGCCCAGTGTGGATGCATACTCAGAGTAACACCACAAACATCATATTCACCAGAGTACATAACAACAAAAAGTATGGTGACTCAGTCTCTATATTTTAATTATAGTCTTGATAATTATAACATAAAAAAACAACAATTTATGACTTTTCTGATGCTGTTTAATACCTGGTTGAATAAAAAACAATAGATGAAATGCTTCTATGATATGGGCATAGTTAGCAATGTTTCTGATTCACCTGCAGCACATTTGTATACTATACTATAGTCTATCAGTTTGTTTTGTACAAAATTTCAAACTTCAAGAAACCACTTATTTTACAGAAGACAACACTTGTTATTTGTGAAAGAAACACAAAAGGAATCTTTTAGTTGTGTGTTTGTAATAGTTGTGTATTTGTATAAATATACATGAAAATACATCCAGATCAGGTAAAATAACGTGAAAATATGTCCGATATGGAAACAGACATTATACAATACTCAACTGTGCTATTAAAAATACGGAAAATTGGGATGAAACAATGCTTTTACTGTAAGCACATTGTTATGAAGATTTGAACTAACATAAGTATCTGATAAAATAGGAGTACCGTGCCAATTTACCCAAGAATATACCAAACATTTTTATTCAATATACAAATATACAACTTTTAACAAGCAAGTAAAACGGTCAGTATTTGCTAATAGAACGTCTTTAGATTGCTTTTACCTAATAAATTGCAATGCCTCACCTTATTTCTTTCATCTTCTGTCAAAAACTTTCACGATCATTGAAAAACTTGAACGAAAAAGGCGAATTTATAGCCCAAACACTACTCTTCTCCATATAATCTATAGTACGCCAGCAGCCAGTTTACTGGCCAGAGTAATGGCGGACCTGACGCATGCGCACAAAAAAACTAGGACGCGTTGTACACGTGAGTTGCCCTTCTATTCATTTCTTATTCTATGCCTGTGGGTAACCTAGTTCTATGTATATCTATCGGGCGAGATGTCCTAAACTTTTGGTATTTAATAAAGTATCTGCACATTGCACGAATAAACACCATGTCAAAAAGTTGAAGAATGCCTCCGCCTTTCTTTTCAGGGTGTATATACGACAACCTCTGTACCTTATACAATACTGTCCATCCTAGCACTTGTTGGTGCCTTACTAACCTGGCTACTTCCGGAGACACATAACAGAGATCTCTCAGACAAACTGGACTGCACAGAGATGATCTATGCCGAGGCTACAGAGAAAAAGTCTTTGACTGTTCAGGAACAAATCCTGGCTTATGAAACATCCATTTAGATTTTAAATATAATAATAGTTAGTATTTTCGCACAAGTGAACATAACAAATCCTATACAAGTTGAATATAACAAAATCGAAATTTTCAAAATGGCGGCTAGCTGTTTTGTGGAAGATACTGTTAAAGAAATAAGCGAAATTAAAATAAATTCGGTCCCAAAAAAAATACTAAAGCAATTATTCGCCTCAGGCTCGGTGATTATCGGGGATTAATATTCACCTTGACTTCGTCTCGGCGAATATTCCCCGATAATCGCCTAGCCTGAGGCGAATAATTGTTAAATGTAAAAAAAAATAAAAATAATATTAAAATACGATAAAGCGTTAATTAAATGGTAATTCCAATAAAATTCAAATATGTTTCTATGCTAGAATTTCCCCTGCCGAACTGATATTTAGAATACTTCAGCTTTTTATTGTTTTAGTGTTCGATGAAGAGGAATTATTAAAACAGTGCGCAGCCCAGTGGTACTGACCTATTCGTCAAAAACAACATTTACATTTTATAATAATATAACTATGTTCAATAGAGTTGATGTTCGCAGGCATAAATATGTTTTTGGCCTGACTCTGACTCATTTTAAAAGCCAGAGCATAGCCAGGCAATTTGTTCCTTTTACCCCGCTATATATACCGCAAAATACACAACAATGCCCGCTAAAGTTTTTATAATATATAATTAATTGTGTTGGTCCGCTAGGCAAAGGTCTTGTGTCAAGCGGATGTAAAAATAAATGTCGAATGTTGTGTATGCACGTCAGCAACGTCTCACTTGAGGGTGGGAAAGGGTATTTTCGTGAGCCGTGAATGTTGAATATTTGTTCCTGTGAAATGTGAAATGCTTGATTTTAGTGTCGTGAAATGTGATTTGTTCTACAGCCGCGAGGGGCGATTGTTGATAAAAATGCTCCGTGAAATAAGAATTAAGGATGCCTGTTTCGTGAACTGTGATTATTGTAGTGATTATTATAATAAACATGATACGCGATACTCAAATTTATATGAT